ACTCCTGGAAAGGTAAGGCTGGAAAATTCTAGGAATATTCCTCTTCCAATTTCTCCAGCAAGCAACGATAGAAGGAATTCCTTTCAGCCAAGGAAATTCGGGATTTCCTCTCTCCGGCTTCTTCTCCAGCAGGCACAAGGAAAGGTCCAGCAAGCGCAATCTCTTGTCTGCATAATGGAAAGAATATTCTGATATAAAATATTCCTTCCATTTCCTTTCGTTTCCTTCTCTAGCAAAGACAGAATATTCTCTTTGATTCCCTTCCTTCTCTGTTGGAGCAATACAAAAATTTCCTGGAATCCTTCTCTGCTGGAAATATTTTTGGAGCAAATATTTCCCTTTTGGAGAAAATATTTTCTTTCCCAGATCCACAGCCAACGATAAAGGAAATTCTGTCGCCTTCCTTTTCTAGATGCTTTTCATCAACCTGAACGGGAAGCCCGCCTGTTCCACGTCCTCACTGAGCCGATGCGATCTCGTACCTCCCAAGCCGTGAATGTCTCTTCGGAAGCCTCCTCTCCTCGCCTCGGAAGAAGTTGCATCGGGCAGTGGTTCCGCTCAAGCCGCTAACCGCGAAATGGAAGTCTCCCACGAAGAATCCACGCTCTCCTGGTCCGAACTCCAAGAGAATATTCCCACGATCCTCCCAGTCTCGAAAAGCGACTGCCGAACCGTCCACCCAAGTGACAAACAACTTCACCTCTGCTCGCTATTCCTAAAATGAAGCGCCAAACTCCTCGGCCCGCCAACTTCTCTCCGGCGATTTAGAACTAGCTTGAACTTTTCTGAAATCCTTTGCTCTGAATCATAAAACCTGGCCGCCAAACTTCTTCTTGCGCTGATGAAAGTTTTCTTCCACCTGGCTCTGATACCACTTGTTGAGAAATTAAGGTCGAATAAAAACAGTAGTCGACACAAATCCAGAAGAACACAGAGATTTAACAAGGTTTGACAAAGATGCCTACGTCCACGGGAGCAAAGCGGCGGCTTTTCACTAATTCAGAAAAAAGTACAGAATACATAATTCAAGGATATTCCCTAGGGTTACATACAAGCCTAATTTATAATCATAGAAAATAATATAAAAAGAAACCTTGGGTACAATATGTATTTACCTAATTACCACTGTACCATACCCCCAACCCACATAAGGGAACTCCCTGATTTGGACAGAATGTACCGCTCTGCTCCGCTGCAGATTTAACACTGTCCATTTATGATATATGAGTCATATTTAATAATATCTATGTTTTTTATTCCATTTCTCTAAAGCTAACAATTTCTTTATATCTCTTATTTGTATTATGCAAAATCCAATTCGTTTTATCCAATTTTATTTTATCCTCTCTTCGTTGATTCAATCCACTCTTTTGGTTTCCATTCTGTCTTCTTTCTCAGATTCTACTAAGTTTTGATGTCAATGAAAGAAGGAACATCGCATCAATGGCAGAAATTAAACGAGCTCAGAAACACGGACTCAAAATTGGATCTTTTCTCAAAAGAGAATGATCAGAGAACTGATATCTCTTCAACTTCCTTCAACACAATCCTCCCCGATGATATCTTGAAGGAACATTTCCTACAATTCCACTGACAGGCTGCCCAAGTGATCCCAGCCCAACCCTCTCTCCTCAGAGCGGCTCGTACCAACCGCTCCCAGTTCGCTTCTACCACCATCGCCTTTACCCAAAAATCAAAGGAAAAAAAATGAAATAAAAAATCAGGCCACAACAATAGTTGTCGGAGCTCATCGAACCCTAGAGGTAGAAATTAAATGAGAACAAACAAGAAAATGGAGAGGATCACGACGAATACAGATGAAGGTGGTCGACAAGGAAGCTCTTACAATGGGAGCGGAAAACAATGGTCGCAGTTCCATCCCCTCAAAAGCTGACGAGCAACCTTAGAACTTGAGATTTTTCGCATCATCCCGCGAAGCCACCAGAGTCAAGTAGTGCGAAGGATAAGGTAACAAGATGCTAACGAACAACGGAGAGAGGAGACCGCCGGGCCGCGTGTTTAACGGATTTAAAACGCCCAAACGCGCAATACAAATAACAAGATTGCATTTTTACAACTTCTCCGCATTTATAAGTTGTCCCAAACGGTGGCTGAATCAACCAAGAATGTTGTTTTCGCCTGAAGTAGGCTTTGGGGCGACTTTTTGAGCATAAAATATTCAAACTTTGATAAAAATTCATTAAGAACTATTTCAAAGTTACAGTCAAACTGACCAATTTGACAAGAATAACCCTATGTTGCCAAAATTAATATAATTTGAATCAAATCAAGTTCAGATCAAATCATTAAATCACGCTTAAAAGTTCTCCGGACATATTTAGAGGGTTAAAGAAATGCTAAATCTAACAAGTCTCTAAACGAAACGAGTGTCTCGACAAGATGAATTTAATAGGCCCAAGATTGTTCAATTTTGACACTGTTTAGTCACTCAAATGTCCATCAAATGCTATATGATCGGCGACAGGCAGAGTTTAGCCAGCGTAGTTTATAAGTTTGTCTCAGGAGAAATTGCGACAGGTGGAGTTCGCGAATTTCCCAGATTGTTCGTAAGTTTGTCGCAGGAGAAATTGTGATAGGTGAAGCTCGGCTGGAGTTCATAGTATTTCGACCAAATTTTTGTACGAACAAGAAAGGTGTTTCATGTGAAAATTTTGATTCACGAATCACAGGAAATTGCGAGAAAATTGCTGCAATTAACAAAAAAAATTTCAGATTTCTTTGAATTTGTTTGTGGTGTGTTTTGTTTCAATACAAGACAGGAAAAATTCATTGCACGATTAATTTCAAAAGACAATATTTGGTGCAAAATTCGAGATAATGATGTTCGATGAAACATGAAACTTCGAATTGTAGCAAATAAGAGTGAAAGATTTGTTGGCGCAACAAAAAATTTTGAAGGCATTGCGAGCTATAAAACGTGATGGTAATATCTATAAGTTGTTGGAGAGTACAGTTGTAGGTGGAGTTCACTCTGTCGTATAATATGATGAAAATGCAGTAGGAAAGTTGATCAAGTCAGATATTTTCAACAAGTTCTCGCGTTACTTGAACTTGTTGAGTGTTTGCAATTGCTAGTTGACATTATTACCCAACCCACTTTGGTGTAAGAAACTCCATGATGTTTTTCTCTTAAGGGGCTGAATATTTGCAAGATGAAGATTTTCTTCTATGGGGCTGGATATTCACCAAGATGGAGAATTGTTAGGTATGATTCATATACCAGGAAATTTGGAGTATCTCGAATTAAAGAGGTGTCTCTTGGAATGAAAAGGAGTATCTCTTGGTGTGAAAATGTGTGTCTCTTGGATTAGTGGGTTGGGGGGAGCAATGACGTGTTGTAAATTTATTTGTGGGTATTATCTATAAATAGATGTATAACCCTATGACTTTAAGCCTATAAAATATGTAACTCCTCTGAAATAGTGAATTTGCCGCTCTGCTCTTGATCTGCTTAGCTCCCGAGATGTAGGCATATTTGTCGAACCTCGTTAAATCTCTGTGTGCTCTTCTGATTTTGTGTCAATTTCTATTTTTCTTCGTTCTAAATTTCTCACCAGATATATGAAATACCTCTAGACGTCTTAATTAATTTTTTAATGTAAGAAAATTATTATTTGATGGAATAAGAAATTCAAGAATAAAAATCTTGTCAAATTTACTTAATTTTAATTTTAAATAATATTTTTATATGACTTGTACAATTGTCAAATACACCTCAACTAAATTAAAATTAATTTATAATAATTCTTCGTAAAGACTATTTTAACCTTAATTTAAAGAATTCGATGAGTATTGTTTTTGACAAGCTGACCATTTAGCACTATTTTTG